TTCCAGAAGATAGAAGAGTTTGTTGAATCTGACGTGACATGTTCGTACGAACCCTTTGTACGAACAAAAGTAAGAGAAATTTAGGAGAAGAATACGAAAATGTTCTTGCATGAGGCCCATTGTCCTGATGGATTGAAAGATGGAAAGAATTCCTACAACATGATGCTGCCACCACAGTACTGTACTGTGGGGACTGTGTTGTAAGCTTGATTAACAAAAGCCCAGCTTTGTACAGCTAAGTTATAGTGGTCCCATGGACAAATACTCCTATTTCTGCAGAGTGACAGCCTAGATTCATCAGGGTTATTTCTGGTCTCTTGGTTGCTTCTTAAAGCCCATAAATTTTAGTAGACATCCCACTTGGCAGGGTTGCTGTGGTGGCACATCCATCCATTTTCTGAACTTTTCAATTTAATAATTTTGTGACTTCTAGAGGTAATGTTTGATACTAGTGGTGTCCCAATACTGGTATCGGTGTTGGTCCCTATACTAGAATTTTTACAAGTACTCGTACAAAATGCCCTGGTACTCGGAATTGATACCAACATCGATATTGATACTGGGATACTGGTATCGATGTCCCTGTTTGGCATCTCTATTGAACGAGTTATAGTTTATATTTCAAGTGAAAAGTTTGTCAGTTCCATGTTTAGGAAATCTATGTTTTGAGAGCAAATGTTGCAACCATATATATCAGACTGTATATATGATTTGATCCAGTCAGAGGAAGGAGGAGCCACCTTATTCATAGTAAAAGAAAGGTGCTTTTAAAATAATTGTGTAATGTTCGAGTTCTAACTCTGTAAGTACTCGGTATCGGCGAGTACCTAAACTGAAATGCATGCACTCAGTTTGAGGAAAACTAGCATTGGGGCAATCTTAGTTGATACTTCAAAACAAAGGAGATGAATACATATGCACAAGACACTTCTCAGTTTTATTTTAAAAACATAAAAAAAACTTTTTTATCCTGTTTAGCTTCAATAAACTGAAACATTTTGTTTACCGGTATGTCCATTACATTAAATCAAATACAAATCGACGTGAATGGCATGTTGTAAAGCAGCGACATAGAAAAAAGACAAAGGGGTGGTGAATACTTCTGCTACACAAAATCATGATTGGTTAATGTATAACTAAGTTAATTTGCATTATTTAAATGAACTTGACCAAAAATTACATGTAACAGTTAAGGTTACCTGCAAAATCACCAATAGTAAAATACTACAGTTGTCCACTTTTTGTGTACTAAATTAACATTATTAAAGTGTTGTTTATTTAATACCTTATTCTTATATGTAAGTTAGTTTTCTCTTTCTTTCTTTCTTTCTTTCTTTCTTTCATGGAATTATTACTTGGATCAACACAGTATTTCTACATAGTGCTATTTTGTAAACAAATAAAGGACATTTGCAACTTTTTTTTCTTTTACCATGCTCTCTCTGCTTCCAGTTTGGCTAACTGTTGTCCCCCACTCTACCCTCTGTCTCTATAACAGTCAGTCATTATGGATCCACTGGACCACAAAAACTTGGATAAAGATGTCCCTTACTTTGCCGATGTTGTCAGGTATGCAGCCATCCAAACCGGTTTGACACTTAAAAAAACGGTAATTCTTTTGATTCATTTTGTTCATTTTTAACCCTAATTTCTTCTCTCTGTTTATTAGTACAACAGAAAATGTTGCTGTTTACATCTGGGACAACATGACGAAGCTCCTTCCTGCCAACCTGCTTTATGAGATCAAGATTTACGAGACAGACAAAAACATTGTCATATACCGAGGAGAGTGAACACCTGGGTGAAACTACGACCCACGTTTGCTTTAGTTGTATTGACAGTGCTGTTTATTGCTGTTTGGGTAACTGCACTGTTTCACTTGAATGGATTTACCCGGACCACAAAACATTTGGAGAATTCAGGTGATGTTGATCTCTCTAAAGCTCAAAGTTTGTGCAGAGGCTCATAAAGTTTAGTTTAGTATTCTAGGTGAATTGTTTATTTTTGTCAGTTCAAAATATATAGACCAGTGATCTCCAGCATTTTAGAGTTGTAAATCCTACAGAAAGTTACACAATTGTTGCATCATCTTATTGACTGAATGTAGGTACTGTTCACGTGATTTGATATATTTAAAAATATACTGACAGAAAACTGTCTGACAGTTATTAGTGGAAACATTTTTAGAGATGTTGAACAACCTTTTTTGGTGTACTAGTCTAACTAAAATTTTAGAAACAATGACTTTATAATTWATTTTGTACATACTAATTGTCACCTAGAATTTTTTTTCCTCTGTTTTGTTTTGTCTCCAGCATGTCGCCATTTAATTTTGATGCTGCACTTAATAACTGACAATAAAATGTTAGACATTTTTCAAAAGAACTACAGTTGTTTGTAACTGATCTGTTGATTTTGTAGACAGTCTCGCCACAAAGGCCATACTYGTACAGTTCAAAGTGAAATGGTAAATAAAATGTATTACTGGCTGGGTTTGCTTCCCCAACTGAAAAAGTAAAAACAGTATAATACAGTATATATGGCACATATWTTGTGTGTATTATATTCACAAACACTAGAATGATATAAGACATATTTAAAATAAGATTATTGCATTAAAAGTAGTAATTTCAAGTCTAAAACACTCCAGATGTGCAACATAGACAAGATTGATATTTCCCTAGTTATCACTAATTGAACTTTAGTTATTTTGCTGATCTTGTTGAGTTAACTGCTGATACATAAAAACAGTTTTTAAATTTGTTTTTGTCTTGATTGATCAGTTTTTATTTTCAACAGACTGTATGTATTAAGTGAATTTAGATTTTTCCTGTGGATCATTGTCACCCCCTTCTGGCAACAATTCATAACWACAACAACTCTGTATTGATCCGTCAAATCAATGGGCCTCATGCAAGAACCGTTCGTACGCACAGATTTGTTCTTAAATTGTGTGTTTGAGTGATTTAGGAGAATTTGTGGCATTCACCAATGTTTTCTATTCTAAGATTTTTTTTCAGATTCGAACAAAATTCACGAGTGGTCCAGACCTGTCGTATATTTTATGAGCAGTCAGTCTGCTGTTATCCAGGCGGATTTTCCGCCCTAATAACTTTATAT